TTGGCTGTCGTTTCTAATTGGCTTACTGAGTGTTTCACTTCCTTCTTCATTTCAGCCTGAGTATTCTTCAATATTTCTAACTCTTTTTGGAATTCATTCAGAAGTTTATCCTTATCTTCCTTCAGTTCTTTGATTTCTTTGTGTGTTCTTTAAATTCACTGAATTCTTTTATCATGTTTATAATTGTTCGAGTTCCATGACCTGCTTTATCTCTAGGGTGTTGTTCTCATTGTACTTCTCTAGAGGACTATTGGTATTTGGTGGGGATATGTTATTTTGGTTTTTCATGTTATTATTTTTTCTCTCTGATTTTGACATGTGAATTTCTTATGTAGTTTCTGATTCTTGTGTGATACTCAAGCCTTCAAGTTAGGTCTGCTTCTTTTTGTGAACTTTATATGTCTTTGTGGTTTACTTTTTGGGCATGAAAATGTCTTTATTAGCATGAACTGCCATAGTTGTCAACATCAATAGCTTTATTTTTTATAGTACAATTTACAACTATATTAGGAAAAACATTTTCATTTATATATTTAAGTACTCCTAAAATTCATATATACTTGTTTCAAGATCTGAGAAAAATAGCCAAAGAAAGCATTTTTATATTAAAAACTCATGCCTTGGGCCTAGAGAGATGGTTCAGTGGTTAAGAGCACTAGCTGTTCTTGCAGAGGACCCAGGTTCGACTCTTAGCACCCACATGGTGGTTAGCCACCATCAGTAACTCCAGTTCCAGGGGATCCAACGCCCTCTTCTGACCTTCAGGGGCACTGCACAACATGGATGGACCTACCTATTTGCAGACAATACAGTCATACACATACAATAAAAATACTAAACTATTTTTAAAATTCATGCCTGCAGTTTCTGGTATTATAAAAGTCATCTTTAGAGGGTTCTAAGATTCCATATATCAACCTAATCTAAACTTCAAAATATAAAAGTAAAAAATAAATCCATTATTAATTATAAAGGTTATTTATTTTATGTATATATATTTTGCTTGCATTCAAGGGCACTGGTGACATGCAGTGCCCACAGAGGCCATACGAGGGAATAAGATCCCCTGGAACTGGTATTCAAGATTGTTGTTAGCTGCCACATGGATGCTGGGAACTAAACTTGGGTCCTCTTAAAGAGCAGTCAGCACTCTAACCACTGAGCCATCTCTCTAGCCCCTAATTATAAAGGTTTTTAAGTTACCTTGCTTTAATATAAGTAAGTTTTGCTCTCTCCATATTATTTGCCTCATGAATTAAGTGTCTAATTACTGGGTGAAATAAAGTACTTTGTATTTTCTTGTGTAACATGAAACTCAGTCAGTATATATATGTGTCTCACAATTGTTATTGTAAAACAACTTATAGAGAGAATAGTTCTCTAAAAATGATGATATCTAATGAACTACTACTACTACTACTACTACTACTACTACTACTACTACTACTACAAAATAGTAACAAGTCAAACAATGTTAATGTGTCAATGGAGGATGATAGGAAACCTGAGCTACTAACAGACTGTCCAGTTATCTACCTCCTTCAGATCAGAGTTCTTGGTTTGCCTACCAAGCTAATGTACTTAGTGTTCTAAGTAGTTTGTGATTACAGTATTTTGCTGCAAGTGTCATGCTAAAATTTGATTTCCTCCAAAGTTAACACAAAGTGATACATAAAATAAATCTTTACAAATGAAAGTTAATCCATCAAAAACCACTTACCATCTGACTCTGAAGTAGCTCGGATAATCAAGTAACTGCTAGGTAAAGGCTGGGTTATAGATCCAACTGCTTCACCCTTTGGACCCTTAATAACAAAGTAAACAATACAGAGTAAGTATTGTGAGATCTCAACATGTTATCCATGATTATCTGTATTATATATGGATTATATCATACACAAATTATAGTTTAAAAGCAAACAAATTTAATTTCATTCTTCTTGAGAATGTCAAAGTATTAGAGAAAGTTTTCTTTCCCAACAAACATGGATCCATAATAGAAAGTCAAATAAATGAGAGTAATCATCACTTAAATATTATTTCTACATTGCTTATATTAATAAAGCCTAATATTTACCATACTAACATAATTTTAACAGAATTTCCATCTCGTGGGTTTTCTAGATGAGAAATACTGTATTTCTAGAAATCTAAAGGGAAGTGAATTTTGACTCAGTCTAGGGGAAAATAATCTCCATGTTTTAACCAATTATATATTTGCTTTTAAAGATCAATTGCAAAAGGGAAGTAAATTTTGACTCAGTCTAGGGGAAAATAATCTCCATGTTTTAACCAATTATATATTTGCTTTTAAAGATCAGGAAAAAGAGAATTCCATTGTTGTCAGCAGTTATTTTAAAAATATACAACATAAACAATTAGTATCACAAAGGCTAAATTTAGGCAGATACAGTTCTTAATGGGATAGAATAGTAAGCATTGAATTTATAGCACAAGTTTGATACACAAGCATCATTTTAAAAGTTGTTTTGAAAAGATTTGTAAGATTATCAGATTAAAGAATAAAATAGCTTTCTAAAAGCATACTTTACTAGAAAGTAAATATGAAGATTCTTAATGAAAAACAAGAAAGAAATCAATATGCCTTTAAGAAATACTGTAATATCCTAGGCATTTCCAAATACTGTTATAAGTTATAGGCCAGGTCCTAGAACTAGTATATACTAGGACAAAGAATCAGACTTCCTAGATTTTACTGAAGAAAAATAAAACAAAACAAAACAAAAAACCCAAAAAACAATTAGGGGGCCTGGAGAGGTAGCAGTACTGGCAGCTCTTACACAGGGGCCGGGCTCAAATCAGCACCCACAAGGCAGCTAACAACTGTCTATAGCTCCAATTCCAGGGCTTCTGATGCCTTCTGACCTCTGTGGGCATCACACAACACGGGTCCACTTACATACATGCAAGCAATATATTCATACACATAAAATAGTAATAATAAATAAAATATTTAAAAGACATTAGAATAACCTTTTTAGGGTTCAGTCTTTTATCTATATCGTAAGAGGAAACCATATCCTTTTCATAGTTATGAGGACTAACTAAGTAACAGATTCCAGGCAAAATATCAGACAATCTATAAATTTCTTTCTCTGTGGAAGGAACTTACATGTTGCTCATATATTAAAGAAAAATTTACTATACTAGCATTATTTAAATTTTAACAGAGAATTTTCATTTCATAGGCATTCCTAAGTCAGAAATACTACATTTCTAGAAGTCTAAATAAAGTAGTTGGACATTTAATTATAACTCACTAGAAAAAAATGAATTTCAGAATAAAACTAGTTCTGTAATCCAGAATGACTCTAGACTACTAAAATAAAGATAAAAAGTCCAAGTCATTTCCTAGGTACATGAAGCCTAATTAAAGTTGGTCTGTTTGTCTCTGTCTGTTAAGCCATCTATCCACCCATCCATCCTACTTTTAGTCCTGGTCTGCTAGGTACTTCTTCTTAAAGGAGGAGTTCTAAACTCTTTATTCAAGGGGAACTGATCTTCCTAGAAACTAAAGCAATAATCTCTTTGTAAAAACAAATTAGATTGAGTGACTTAATTAGTATAAATTACATTTCTACAGTTTATAAAATTCCTTATAATCACATAAAGCAGTTTTGTTTTCCTGCTTATTTCTGCTCTTAAAGCATACAATGGCCACTCTAATCCTTTTTAATTAAAAATGTAAGAGCTCTATCCTTAAAGAAAGCTGTCTCTCTTAAGAGTACGCAGAACTGCTTCTGCTCCTAGGTATTCCCATCATTGCAGGAAAGACCACAAAAAGCAACAACAGTTTCTACTGTAGGCCATTTTAAACCATTCTGATGAAGAATAAAATATAGTCAACATAAAGCAAAGTTACAAGGAAGAATCAGTAATCACAAATTATAAAAATATAAATTTAATGATGAAAGTGATAAGATACAATGCATTTCGGAAATATTTCAGGAAAAATTAGTTAGATTTTAAAGATAAAAAGGTCTTTTGGTCCATATTTCACTGTGGATAGAGACACAAAGGAGAATAAGTGGGAGACAGAAACAAATTTATGAGTCCTGGCTAAGGACCAAAGCCATTTGATTGACTTACCTCACTTCCCACCCTCTCTTTCCCTTTTACCTCAACGAGTACTTACATACCTTCACTGCCCAAATAGACTGCTCCAAAGGATGGAAAAGCTTGAAACAAAAGCCATCCTTTTTTGATGGACGTTCAATGATTTCACAAGCATTCAGAAGGACTGTTCCAACCCACTGACCATTTTTCTGCGTTTTATAGATCAGGAGCACTCCAGGTTTCAACACACACCACAACTTAGTCCAGCTCTTTAGGGTACCACGAATCTGCAGAAAGATAAGTCTGTTTTAAAGAGTAAAATGTTTTTTTTTTTTTTTCTAGTCTACAAGCTGAGTAATGACAAATAGGATGTTTTATTCTAAAGCTTATATTGCATGTACTTTTAGACTGAATAGGTCTTTAAAGAGGCACTTTCTGGCATGCACTGAAAACAAATGTGAAACTGACATGGCCCCTGCTTTTAAGCTTAAATTTTAGTGTTTTAGTGGCATAGCAGGCCAAAGTTTGAAAATCATATATATTAACTAAAATAGATTTTCTAACCTCCATGACCAGGACAAGGGCCATTAAAATAAACTTCCATAGCAATAGTAGAAATTATTATTCTCATAGCAGTTACTAACAGCTGTAATTTTATTTATGTGAATAAATGATTATTCTGCTCTTTGTTTCTCCCCTTTCTGTCATATCAACAGTGCTGAAAACATTTCTGGCCCACATGAGCCATTCCCTAGATATTTGGTAAATAATAAAAAGAGGAAAGAACCCCCTCCTAGTCCCTGAAATTGCCATCATTAAATTACTTTGTTCCTAGCAGTTATATAAGGTATGCTATGTAAATTTCTAGAAGAAAACTTTTAAGCACAAGTACATAACTTTTTAAAAATGCTCTTCATTCTTAGTTCTAATGCTATGTCAGTAACTCCATAAAGTTTTTCTCTCACTTTCTACTTCTGCACTCTATTAAAAATTGTTGCTAGGCAACTCACTGACTCACAATGCTGATCAGGGTGCCAATATGGCATTCCCATTAAAATAGGAACTTTCTTCATTTTTATTTACTGCAAAATGTGTTTCCTCAATGCATGTATATCAATTATGGGCTCCCTAAGCACCAAAATAGGCAGAATTACAATAATCTGAAGCTATAAAAAGTTAATCCCAGCACTTGGGAGGCAGAGGCAGGTAGATCTCTGGGAGTTCGAGGCCAGCCTGGTCTCCATTAGCGGAATCCAGGCCAGCTGCGGCTACAGGAAGGCCTTGTCTCAAAATGACCGAAAAAAAAGGGGAGATCATTAAACCTAGAATGAAATAAAGGGAAAAATAGTCAAGAGAATCAAAAGGAAGTTAAGTTATCCTGGGTTAACATTCTTTATCCTGGAGATGTGACAATAAAAGAGGGCCAATCGCTGGGCGTGGTGGCTCACACCAGTATTCCCAGCACTTGGGAGGCAGAGGCAGGTGGATCTCTGTGAGTTCAAGGCCAGCCTGGTCTACATAGTGAGTTCGAGGACAGCTGGGCTGGGGCTTACAGGGAGACCCTGCTTCAAAAAGACCAAAAAAAGAGGGCCACTCATTAGAAAAGAAGATAAGGTTTAAAAGGCCAGCCACTGAACTTCATGGGATAGTGTACACTTGTAATTCCAGCACTTGAGAAGCTGAGGGAGGAGGATTGCCATGTATTCAGGACCAGCTAGAAGTAAATAGCAATATCTTGTTTCAAAAACCAGAGGTGGAGCTAGGTCACAAAAGTGGGATCTGGAGCTAGTATGTTTTTAAGTAGTGACAAAATAGGTTAGAATTTATTTTCAGCACAAGATTGAAGAAAACTCTAATATTGCCTGGGCAGTGTGCACCCATCATTAAGACTGTCATTGTAGTGAAAGAACTTTTCTGACCTATCTTTAAGGATCATCTTATCAACTGTGGTGAATGTTAGGTACAAAAACTTCCCAGAGTCAGGGTCTTACAAATTTACTCTTAAAATTAAAAGCAGTTGAAAGATATATACAGCTATTCCTCAGGTGAGAATGAGAGAGAAGACAGAGTAGGCTGAGAAAATGAAATAAAAATAATCTGAGGCTGAAAGAACAGGGTGCAGAAATAGCAATGTGTGCTTGATAACCAGTGCTTTTCAGGTGAAACTTTCTATCAGCTAGGCCTCATTTTTCTTAATACTGCCAATGTTTCTGCAATAATACCAAATGATAAGCTGAAGATTTGTAAAATGGATCAAACTTTTAAGACAACTTCATAGCACACAATGAAAATGTCTTTTAAAAATTGCTAAACATATCTGATGCTACTGTTAAGAGAGACACTAAGGTTCCTTCTCCCTGTTAAGACTGGAACACATGGGGCAAGAGAGATGGCTCAGTGGTTAAAAGTACTAACTGTTCTTGCAAATGACCCAGGTTCAATTCTTAGCATCAACATGGTGGCTAGCAACCATCCATAACTCCAGTCCTAGGGGATCTGAAGCCTTCTGGCTTCCACAGGCATTGTAGGACATTTGTGCACTTAGACGAAAACAGGCTGTACACTTATACACACAAAACAAAAATAAAAGTAATAAAATACTTTAAAAGATTGGGCCATGAGTGGTGGTACACACCTTTAATCCCAGCACTTGGGAGGCAAACACAGGCCAGCCTGGTCTACCTAGTAAGTTCCAGGACAGTTGGGGCTACAGGGAGACCCTGTCTCAAAAAAGACTTAAAAAAAAAAAAAAAAGATTGGAGCACAGAACCTTTCTGGAGTACAAAGAATACTTTCCTTGCCACTAAAAAAAACTATCTTCCTGGAAGTTGATTTTGCTTATACATTCTCATTCTGGTCAATGAACATCCAGCACTTATATTCAAACTCAGCACCAACTGACCTTCAGCCAGTCAGCCATAACAATGACAGAAGGGTCTGTGATTGTACTGAGCAGCTCCTTTGTGGCTCTTTTCTTCTCTTCACGATAATTCTTCTTTTGTACCTGTTTAATATAGAAATATAATAAACTCAGGAGAAGAACTAAGGAATTTCTTCTCTTGGGAGGCAGAGGCGGGTGGATCTCTGTGAGTTCAAGGCCAGCCTGGTCTACATTGTGAGTTCCAGGCCAACTGGGGCCTGTCTTAAAAGACCAAAAAAAAAAAATAATAATTAAATAAAATTGAAAACTTAGAATTCTAGCATCTTAGGTTAAAAAAATTACAGTATATTTGTTCAGTTTTTTTAATTTTTATAGCTGAGAGGACTGACAAACTAGGTTAGAATCTGGATTTTGTGATGACTGGTCCATTCTCTCCATCTTTTAAAATTCTTTTTTATCCCTTTTAAATTACATGTACTTTGGCAAACATCATCCTTCCAGATGCACGATCCATAGAAATACATGGCTTTTGTGTTTTTAAACACACAAAACCTCCCATTTGATAATTTTTTTGGAGTGTCTATGTTTACTGTATTCTTTTAACTATTCTATAGGATTCCTGGCATAAATCAAATGAGCACGAACATTGCATTCTGTGAGTCATTATTTTTCTAAGCCCAGACCTCTATAAAATTACCTTGTTCAGTCACTATAATAAGTTTTTTCAAGTAGAAATATTATTAGCCTTATTTACATTCAAGAAAACTGAGGCAGAAAGAGTAACTTTCCCAATATCACATAGCTAGAAAGTTGTAAAGTCAAGATTCAAACAGATGCAGATCAGCTTCCAAGTCTTGTGCTCTAAACCACTAAGTGACTAGCCTAAACTACCAAGTGACTAGTCTTTGTATATTACAAACAATGCTGCAACAGTTTGCAAATATAAGACTTGCCCTTTTTCTTACTAAAATCTAAGATAGAGATAACCAAGAAACTAAAATAACGAGATCAATTCACTCAAAATATTAACGTTATACCTTCATAGGAAACTTCCGAAATAATTTTGGAAATCAATCATTTTAGAAGTGAACTAATAGTTTTATTATTGCTTTGTTATTTGGATGGGAAAATGAAAACCTATTAGTATCTACATTTTTTTTCTCAAATAGTAAGACAAAAAAATCTACCAGCATTAAATTTGAGACTACACACATATAATAATTTAATAATTCTATACTCCAAAAAAGTTTAGACTTGTGGTCTTTTAAGATACTTATGTCTGAATGAACAGACATAATATTAGACTGTAAATGCAAATGCAGGTAGGGCCAGGCATGGAACATGAATTAATATAATGAACAAACAAAGGTCCAGAACCAGTAAAGAGCATGTGTCCTTTAAGCTCCAGGTTCTATGGGCCTTCAGGAAGGCAGGCCCAGTACTAACTATTTCTTAGACTAGAAATCTTTTTTAGTCTTTTGTTGTCTCATATTTAACATGATACAGGTAAGCAGGCAATATATACCTATAGGACTATAGGACAATTTCAGCTCATGACCCACCAATTAGCATACTAATTTCAATGGGTTCCGAAAATGCCCATCAGATGTTCTCACACAGTGAGGTACTCAGCCAGCTCTGGTAAAGCTGTGAAGAGACACCAAAATCTGAGCCCATGCTGTGGCCAGCTGAGGCCTGAAGCAGCCTGCTCTAGGGTAGTCATCTAAAAGTCTTATCAGGGGTACCTCAGAGTACCATAAAAACATGACCATTTACCATGTGTGTCTGCCTTTCTGTCCTTCTGGATATTTTCTTACTTTAGGAACATACACATATGTATTTCTTATTAGTCTACTTTTAAAATCACATGCAAAGTACAATGCAAATTACTTTAGAGAAACTAACCTTAAGAGATTCTTTCTTTGTGAGCTTACTTGAAGTTGAACTGTCCTTTTCTGAGCCATTATAAAGTTTAGATTCAGACTGAAATCAAGAAAAAATGAAGAGAAATTAAATCTTTATGTATTTTATATACCACATAAAACTTAATGTCATGTTTCTTATAGTACTCCCAATCCACTGCTATGATTTAAGAAAATGCAGATTTTTCAAAACTGGTTTTCTCCACATAGTATTTGTATTTAAAAGTGAATTCATGTTAAAAAAAAAAAAATCACAAATACTCAAAAAAAACCCCAAACTAATCAAAAACTGAAATGTAAAAGTTTTTAATATTCTACTTCTCAGATAATTTCCCAGAATATATACACTTATTCAGCTATTCTTTGCACAAATAGTCAAAGCAATATCAAAATAAAATATTCTAAATAAAAAGTAAACCATGTAAACATTATCAAGTTGCTGCATACACTGCCTTATTCCCTCAATATTAAAGAAACCAAGATTAAACAACTTCAATTTGTATAGTTTTTAAACATTAATACTTCTAGGATCCACATCTTCCTACCTTCCAGTGTACTTAAATTGTTATTAATATAAAAATTTACTTCTAGGATTTGGGTTTATATTTAATATTGTTATTTAATGTTCATAAGAACCTTAAAAATTGGAACAACAGGTATTTTATGCTTGTTTTACAAATCAAGAGTCTCATAGGAGCCGATTTTCCAAAGTTACAATAATTAACACAGCTGTGATCAAAAGCCAGGTATCTCAATCCAAGGCCCTATAATCTTTCACTAGGATAGAATAGTAAGTCTAAAAGCTATTTCTTTAAGTCTTGAAACAATATCAATGTCCTATAAGATTTATTTTTACCATTCCTAGAAATAAAAGATACTAAAATGTTTAGCAGTACTCCTGGTATCAAAGAATTACATGGGACTTGATTCAAATGATGGCTTTCAAATGTTGAATGGCCAGATCTGCATAATATCACTAAGACATAATCATGGACAAAAACTTTTGAATATGAACTGTCTCACTTATTTTAGGACCCACGAAAGCAGCTCCATATTTACTCATTGATCATAGGCAGTGCATTACCTGAAGAAAATGAAAGATTTATAACATTTTTAAATCAGCTAATAAAATGAAAATGAAAATGGCACTTAAAGCTAATTTGTCTTGTCTGTACTAAAAATACTTCTAGTGCTAGTTACAAAATACCTTCAGATGAATGGAGCATATACTAGGTTATGAGGATGGTAGTAACCAAAAGGTAGAGAACTGCAGTTTTCAGTGCAGAAGGCGATCAACCTGGTTAAACTTTCTGTTCAAGTTCTGACTTAACTGGTCTTGAAATATCATATTGCTTATTCTCATGAAGACGCTATATATAGTGACACCAAAATAACTTCACATAATTCCTCCAGGTACATACAACTATCTGTCTTCTCTCTGGCCTTAGGCATCCAAAGACAGCACAACTACTGTGGAAGGAATATGGTGGATTAAAACTAATCATGGAATTCCACCTCTTAATATGAAAAGTGTGTTTAATGTCCTTCGTAGATACCACTGAATGAAGAACACTAGCCCTTATTAGAATTAATGAAAGTTAGTGGCTGTTTACTATTTATCAAAAGTGCTGTGTTAAGCATTTTACATTTATCACTTCATTTAATACTCAAAGTAATCCTAAGATCTGGCAGTAGTATCACCCTTTATAAATAAGGAAGTTAGGGGCTGGAGAGATGGTTCAGCAGTTAAGAGATGGCTGTTCTTGCAGAAGACCTGGGTTCAAATCCCAGCACATGGCAGCAAACAACTGTAACGCCAGTTCCAGGGGATCTGACGCCCTCTTCTGACCTCTGCGGGCATTGCATGACACGGATGCACTTACATACATGCAGGCAATACAAGCATACACATAAAATAAAAACAATATATTTAAAAAAATAAGGAAGCTATACCTATAGGTTAAATATTTCCCATCACTCATATAGCTGCCAAATAGATCAATAGGATTTCATACCTTGGTCTATTTCTGAACTTAATGCTCTTAGCAATTTCACTATATTGATTTCTTACTTTTAAAACTATTCATAGGCTGGAGGGATAGCGCAGCCATTAAAGGCTAAGACTAACAATCAAAACGTTAAATACTATTTATACAGTACAGCAGCCAGAATCAAATATAAAAGTTATCTTTATGTAAAAAGAAAATGTTTCCAACAGCTCCAAATAACAATACCTGGCTTGGTTACTAATTATTAAAAGATTCCACTGTGAATAAGTAGGCTAGAAGCACATCACATGAGCTTGGTAAATCAGGGTATAGATGCCTCCAATAGCCTCTGCCAATACTGTGTGGTAAACAATGAGTCAAGTGACCAAGTTTTATTGTTCATGCATCACTACCTCAGTTTTGTGAATCAGCACACTTTTTTCTTAAACTTTGTTATTGGGGGGATCTCCTGCATACTAACAAGCACTTTTACCATTGAAGTATACCACCAACCCTCTTTTCTACTTTTTTAAATTTTGAGAAAAGGGTTTCACTAAGCTGCCCAGGTTGGCCAAACTTAACATTCTCCTACCTCGTCTATTTGAGTAGCTGGGATTACAAGCCTGTCCCACCAGACCTGATTCTGGATCAACATAATATTAACAGACCAAAGAAACATAAACCATCTTTGTTGAAGGTATTTGACTAAAGTAAGCTTTTATTTCTCAACAAACTTAACTGGCCACCAATATTAATGATCCAACCACAGGGTTTAATGGATTGTATTTCTTGACCCTTTGTTAAACGGTCTTAGAGGGCACAGTAGGTCTCTCAGTCTCTCTCTCTCTCTCTCTCTCTCTCTCTCTCTCTCTCTCTCACACACACACACACACACACACACACAAATACACAAATACACCATTAAGTATTGTAGCTTTATAGGCAATACAACTTTAACAAGTTATTTAATTTCTTGGATACCACTGCTAAGTCACAGGGCTGCTCTGAGGGCTAAATGAGGTAATATGCAGAAAGTGTTTAACAGAAGACTTGGTATATGCTGTGTTTCAGGCTTCTGACCTTTTGAATAAGGCATTAATATATGAAATTTCTTGTGATTTCATTTAGAAACTACAAAATACTACAGATTTAATGTAATGAACCACAATCACAATAAGCTACTGTGGGCCAGAAAGGATTTTAAAACATTTCAGATAAGTATGTATTTTTTATCTTATTTATTATTTTTATTTTATGTGTATGGGTGTATTGCCTACATGCATGTAAGTGTACCTGTGTCATGCAATGCCCACAGAGCGCATTGGATATCCTTGGAACTGGAGTTATGAGTTATGAACAGTTGTTAGACTCCATGTGGGTGCTAGGAAACAAACCTGGGTCCTCTGCAATAACAGCCAATGCTCTTAACTGCTGAGTCATCTCTCCAGCCTGTAAATGTATTTAAAAAAAAAAACAAAACAAACAAACAAAAAAAAAACAAGTAACAGATAACTTACAAACCTAGAGGCAAGTACATAGTTCAGAAGAACTTTTCAATAAGAAAAGAAGTATTTTCTTCTTACCCATTGCAAGTTAAGGGATCAAGTTAAGAGATCTGTGATACAGAAACCCTAGATCCTGGTAACAGGATTCCATTTATCACTACATGAATTACTTATGCTGGCCATTTCTGTCATGAAGATAAAAATTATTAAAAACTCTTTTTCAAAATGCTGCTTTGTTTGGAGTAATATGATTAACTGACATTTTCAATTCACTTATTCACACAACCTAGAAAAAGTTGTATGTAAAAAAGGAATTGGTTTATATATGTGTGTATATATATGTCATATATACACATATATAATACAAACATTTGGGGGTGAGGGTATAAGGCACTGTTTATTGGTTTAATAGACATTTGTAAGAACAAGCCCAAATCCTATGGCAGTACTGATATTTTTACATGTGGTACATAAATGTTTAAAGTCAAAATTGCTTGATAGGTTCAGTTACAGATATTACCATGGAAAGAATATCAAAGTTGTGTTTCCCAAAGTCACTTAGGTCAGAATGAAATCTTCAGTGATTAATGAGTGAATCTGACACTTGCTAAGAAAACCTGAGGTTACACATTAAAATATTCAGGAACAAAGTAGCTATTATAAATCTCTTGAAAAATAACAGAATGAGTATAATGTTACTAATATCAAATGGTTACCATGCTAAGAATTATTCACTATAATTTTTGGTTTTGTTTTTATGTGCAAGTGTGTCTGGCTTTGTCATCATTGTTTTGTTTTGAGGCAGGGTCTTATGTAGCCTAGGTTGGCCTTGAACTATGTAGGTGAGGATGACGTTAAATTTCTTGATCCTCCTGCCTTCACATCTCATGGTTAAGATTGTAGGCATGAGCAATCAACGCCAACTATTCACTGTAATCCTTTATTCAGAGTAAAGAAAATAAATTCTTAAATACCTATTACTAAGCAGCGACTTTCTGTATCACCATCTAGAAAAGAACTCTTACCTCCTTTGCACAGGGGAAAAAACAAAAGCCTCTGAATTCTAGTTTTATCACTTATTTTATCACTTAGGAATTATTTATTTTCTCTGAGCTTCAGTTTGTTCACTTATAAAATAAGGCAAACAATGCCTGAATACTGCTATCTTGGTGAATTAAAATGACATCACAGTAAACTCTCAACCAGAAGTAGATGTTAATATTATTGTACATACCTAGAAAGTCACAGGTAATGGATTAGAGTTGAGATAAAAATCCACTCTTTTGACCTGAAAGCAGCACTATCCAGTAGAACTTACTATACGTTAGATATTTTCTATCTGAGTTATTCAACATGGTAGCCCCTAGTTATGTGTGTTTACTGAGCATCTGAGCCTTCATTAGTATAATGAAGGCCTTAATTTCTACCTTGTTTAATTTTAAAGACCTACATACTACATGTTCTTTTACACAAAATATAATAGTAAGGCACATGCTTGTTTTTTCATTAGTGTGCATCACTTCATTAATCTGCAAAATTCAGCTTCCATACCTACACTACCCCTACAAGCTACATACAGGAGGCTGATAGCAGCTAAGGTATGTAAGTCTTTGTGTTTATGGGTTCAAGCTTCTGAACAGGAATATTATTACATCAAAAATTCACTAATTCTGGTTCTAAGTGCTTTAAAATAACCTTTAAAAATAATTCTAGGCTGGAGAGATGACTTAGTGGTTAAGAGCTCTGGATGCTCTTGAAGAGGATCTGAGTTCAGTTCCCAGCACCCACATGACAGATAACAACCATTTGTAGCTCCAGTTCCAGGGTCTCTGATGCTCTCTTCTGGTCTCTATAGGCACTGCACACAGATGATACATTTACAGTACAGTACAACACTCACACACATAAAATAAAAATAAATAAAATTAAAAAAAATAATTCTGCTACATTTCTAGCTGTGACATTCAGGATACATTATTTCTTTACCTCTTGGTTGTGTAAGATAGATAGCTGACACAAAATATCTCTATTGGTATAATAGCGGTACTCTTCTCTTGGGCATAATCAACTGCTGTCTAATTGGATGCAAGGCCTGCTCAGTAGGAGAATCCATGCATGGTACTATAAACATAGCCAAGTACATGTGGTTGGTGAGGTTGTAGACCCTAGAGAAAAACCTACTACTGCCAATTTCCTAAATCAATGTAATTTCTTTCTGTATTCTAAATATTTTCTTTAAAAAGAAAAAACAAAATAAATATATATCCTTATATTCACAGATTAAGTGTAGTTCTCACCCCTCAATCAAAGAGGCTCTTTTTAACAACAGATGAAGACTATCACAAAGTTCCACAGCTGTTCAAAATGCAAATAATAAGCAACCATGTGTGCCTAGCCCCAACTGATACATCTACAATGCAACTAAGGCTCAGGAACATTGCAGAAGAGAGGGCATAAGGCTACTGTAAGAGCCAGAAGAACAGAATGCCTGCTGCTAGACAATGCATTCTAGACATGATCACAAAGCTCACCCATGAAATCTCAACAATACGGTTGCCTAATAAGACCTTTATAGTAACACTAACAGTTGACATGTGGTTAGGCAAGCAATGGATACTAGGGGAGGGAGAATTAGTCTTCCCCAAGCACAAGCTCACTTATAGATGAGCTAATTCCAAAAGGTCAGCCCTACATACCACTTGGGGTGGGGGCAGGAGTTAGAGGGGTTGAAATGATGCAAGTACAGTACTCATGTATAAAATTCTCAAAAATAAATAAATAAATAAATAAATAAATAAATAAATAAATAAATAAATAAAAGAGCTAAGCAAGCCAGTAAGCACCATTCTTTCATGGTCTCTGCTTCTCCTTCAGTTCCTGCCTCCAGGAGTCTACCTTGGCTTCCCCTGATAATGGATTGTGAATTATAAGCTAAATAAACCCTTTAAACTCCACAAATTGGTTTTGGGCAGTGTTTTATCACAGCAACAGAAAGCAAACTAGGACACATTACTCTAAAATACAACATCTTAATATTTACTTTAAGATGAAAGAAACTGAGAAAATTTCAAGGAAAGAAGGCCATTCTCTGACTGTGTCATATCTTTCTTTCCTGAAGTAGTCCACATAAGAATGAATTCTTCCCTGAAGCAAATGTTCTCCCTGTACTTGGAAGTAAAGATCCAAAGACAGAGACACACCAAGAAGAACCTTATCAAGCAGGCCTTAGTTCTTCCCAGCTTACTGCTATTAGATAATAACCCTCTTCATTTTCTTTTCAAAATATTTTATTATTTTTATGTGTAAGAATGTTTTGCCTGCATATATGTAAGTGCATCCATGTCATTCAATGCTTGCAGAGATAGGTAGAGGATTTCATATCTCCTGGAACTGGAGTTACTAGCTGCCATGTGGGTGCTGGGAATTGAACTAGCATCCTCTGTGAGAGCAGCCAGTGCTCTTAACCACTGAGCCATCTCTCCAGCCCCAATCCTCTTTTATTTTCCAATGGAGCTGGGACCTGAACCCAGAGTACTGTACATTCTAGACAAAGGCTCTACCACTGAATTCCAGCCCTTTCTTATCCTTTTTGCTCAGCCATACTTTACAAGACTGCCTGACTCTTCATTACATCAAAGCATAAAAGTAAACAGATTTTACTGTTTGGAGGGAGGGATATCTCCAATATTACATGAAACTTATGTCAAATAAATGTGTGTACTTTTCTCTTATTAATATGCCTTTTATTGTGGGGGTCTCAGCCATGAAGTTTGCAATGAGTAAGAAGAAAAGAAGTATTTTCTTCCCTACACGACCAAAGACTTTCTTGTGTATGTTACATAAAGACAATGTAGTGGGGCTAGGAGATGGCTCATTCAGTAAAATCCTTGCTTAGAAAGCATGTGAACCTAGTTAGATCCCCAGAGTCCACACTCAAAAAAAAAAAAAAAAAAAAAAGGTGTGATCATGTGATATGTGCTTTTATTCAATGTGGGGGCATGGAGGGTGGCTGAGACAGGCATATCCTGGGGCTCATTGGCTATTAGCCTCCCCTACTTGATAAATTCCAGACCAATGTGTAACTCTGTGTGTGTGTGTGTGTGTGTGTGTGTGTGTGTGCATGCACGTGTGTGTATTATGGTCAATGCCTGAGGAACAATTCAGATTGTTATCTGGCTCACACATACATATGTGTACATATGCACTTGCACACATGCATGATGAATGAATGAAAGAATAAAATGCACTATTAAACTTTAATCTTAAATATGTATGACTTTAAGTAATAAATATTTTTAAAGTTAAATGTGAATAGTATGGATAAAATGATGTATCAAAACGTAATGTACAATCTTCCCAACTACGTCTAAGAACAGGAGCGAAAAACATAGAGTAGTGTGAACAAAGCCTATTGGTAAGAATAGCAGACAATTCGCTGGGATAAAAAATAGATTTTATGGGCTGGAGAGTTGGTTCAGCGGTTAAGAGCACTGACTGCCCTTGCAGAGGACCCAGGTTCAATTCCCAACACCCACATAGCAGCTATGAATCATCCTTAACTGCAGTTCCAGGGGAATCCAAAGCCCTTTTCTGGCCTCCGCAGCATTGCACGACACGGGTGCACTCACGTCCATGCAGGCAATACACTCAACACACATAAAATAAAATAAAAAAAAAATAGAAGCCTATTCCAAAAACTTTATAATTTCTTGTTGCTGCTACTAAACCTTAATGAGAAAAATGTCAAATACCTTGACAAATTTAGAAAACTCACTGAACTTTTATAAACCCATTGGAAATCACTGCATCATTGTTTTGCAAAGCTGAATACATACTCTTAAAAATACTGACTTAGAAAATTATGTATTTTAAGAAAATGTCTTAACTTTTTGTTAAAGTCATGAAGCCTGAGATATCCCCGGATGGAATCCTCAGATTCCAGTTTGACATGTTCTGCTGTAACACACATACCAAAACCAATAGTATTTTGGAGAGAACACTGGTTATCAATCTGTATTTTTCCAGCAACCAAAATCTTAGATCAGTCCCCGTGTAGACAATTATATTTTTCATATACAGCACATGGTTTAAGCATATCAACATAAAAATGCCTATGAAAGCTTACAGAATTTTAACTCATGTTAAATATGAGAATAATGCCATATAATGTACTGGGGACAACAATATGCTTACCTTGCTCTTTGACATAGAAAGTGAAGAGTCATCTTTATTTTGAGAATTATCTTCTTTTCCTCTTTCAAAACCTTTGGGAAAAATGTCAATATTCAATTATTACTACTTTTGAACATGTAGCCATTAATGTTGATGAGTAAACATGAACCATTCAATTTAAAATAAATATTTATAGAGGCTACAGTGATGGCTCAATGGTTAAGAGCACTGGATGCTCTTGCAAGGACCTAGGTTCATTTCCAATCACTGACATGGTAACTTGCAACCATCTGTAACACCAGTTCCAGGGGATCCATGCCCCATTCTGGCCTTGGTAGGCACAAGGCACATCTGTGGTGCCCAAACATATATGCTGGCAAACACATACATAAAAAAAATAAATATTTAAAATAGATATTTGATATACATCTGCCCAGGAATAATAGATTATAATATAGTTCAAACTATTACCACTTACAGACCTCTAAAAGGTCATCTCAGTATCCTTCTTTAAAATTAAGGTGAGCTAAACTGGACTCTGTGGGTCATCAAAGGAAGAAAAAAAAAAAGAGCACATGAAGTTTGGAAAGAGGTAAGGCAGCCAGGGGTGGGGGTGGGGTGTTCTGCAAAGAGTTAGAGAGAGGAATAGGAGTGAATGCGATCAAACTACATTGTATGCTTGTATAAAATTTTCAAAGAATAATACTGTATTTTAAAAAGAAATTAAGGTGGAGGGAGGCAATCAAGTCTTTCCCTTAGCTCTTTTCTGGACTACTGGAGCACTTCATACGAAATCATCCTCTCAGATTTTATTCTAGTGAGCTCACTTCTCCCCACCCCCTTTAAAAAAATTTTTTTTTGTTTTCTTCCCTTTTTCCCTTTTGAGATAGGGTCTCAGGTAGCCAAGACTGACCTTGAACTTGCTATGTAGCAAAGGAATACCTTGAACTTCTGATCCTCCTTGCCTTCACTTCCTGAGTGATGAGATCACAGGTGTGCACCACTAAACCCAGTTTATGCAGTGCTGGGGATCAAACCCCACCTCGTCCATGTTGGGCAAGCACTCTACCAACTGAGTTACATATCCAGTACCCTAGTGAACAGTTTCTAACAAAATATCTGTACTGAGGGTGTTGGAGAGATGGCTCAGCGGTTAAGAATACTGGCTGTTCTTGCAGAAGACCCGGGTTCAAATCCCAGAACCCACATGCTAACAACTGTCCATAACTCCAATTCCAGGGAATCCGACAGCCTCTTCTGTCCTCCGCGGGCATTGCATGACATGGGTGCACTTACCTACATGCAGGCAATACACACATACACATTAAAAAAAATAAAAAAATATCTGTACTGAAAGAACCATCCCAACTAACATTTATACACTTACTGTCAAACTTGAAAAATATTCCAGAAGGTGATAAAGATGATTGGGGAAATAAATCTTTCATGAGGGATTAATTAGAGAGAGGAGGGGACATAAAGCGGAAAGGGGAGGAGAGAGGAAAGGCGGTGGAGAAGAACAAAAGAGAATAAACAGGAGAAGAAGAAAGAGAAAGAAGAGAAGGCAGGGAGGGAAGGAGGGAAGAAGGGAAAGAAGGAAGCAATGGATGAATCTGGTATGGTGGCATGTGCCTGAAGTCCTAGCTATTTGAGAGGCTGAGGCAGGAGAAATACTTGAATTTAGGAGTTTGAGAACAGGTTGGGTAATATGGTGAGACTCCATCTCAAAAATAAAACAAATATTTAATAGAATGCTTATCATGATTATTAGATGAGGATGCATGTATTTAAAAGAGTTGACACAGTATATTACGTATAGTGTGAAAAAATATATATATTCAGTAGTTGGCCCTTTGCTAAATAAAGTCTAAAAGCATAAATTTAAAATGCATGAACACAGTGTGACAAACATGTATGTATTCTGTACTCAAATATAGCCTATGCTAAAAGTAATGATAATGTTACTCTAAGAGTTCCATAAGGGAACTGGTAAGACTAAAATTTGTGAGGCAGGCATAAAAGAACAGTGCATACTTTAGTGAAGTTCTTTTTACTTTAGGGCAGTTAATATTAGCTATTTCCTGTATTTTCTGAGTCCAACAAATGCTTATATATCAAACAATGTATTAACAAAAGAATCAATGCCTAAAGTATTTCAAATGATTTTTAGCCTACCAGTGATAGCATCATTTATTCTGTTGGGTGTTTTTAAAATCTAAAAACAAATCTATTCTATTTTTAAGATTTGGATATTTTACTAAATTATTTTTGCAGCATGAAACCTTTTCCTTTCTGGAAAAGTAAAGCTCAATCAGTCCTACAACTGTATGTGTATGGGGAGGGGGGGCTTTCATAAGTACAACATGGACTGTTAGACAAAAATTTACAGGAATTTGGAACTTAAATATAAAGTAAGTTTAACTACAAAATTATTCAAATCAATAAATGTAAGAATAAACAATTCTTAATACTAATGACTAACATAATTTACTTCAAAGTTCCTCTAAATATATGAAAGAACTTATTTTCTAAAACTACGTAAGTAGAAAAAAATACTTGTTTTGCTCTCATATGAACAGACTTCAATTTCTCCAATGTTGCTTTAGTTTCCGCTCAATCTACATCAATCCACTTACTACAGTTCATTGTATCTACACTCACGCATTATTTTACAAATAGAATAAAGTTCAACTTTATGTGCACGTGTATGTGTACACATTTGTGTTCGTGTGTGCGCGTGCGTGTGTGTGTGTGTGTGTGTGTGTGTGTGTGTGTATCTGTGTTTAGGCCAGAGGCTGATGTCAGTGTCTTCCTCAATTTCTAGAGATGAGGTTTCTGAACCTGGAGCTTGCCCATCTGGCTAGACTGACTGGCCAGCAAACCCTAGGGATCTGCAGCACTGTGATTACAGGCATGGTGTGCTTTTAGGTGGACACTGGGGCTCTAAACTCAGTTCCTCATGTTTATGTAGCAGGTATTTTGCCAACTGAATTATCTCTCTGGCCATAATTTTTTTTGTTGCTTTGGGTTTTTTGTTTGTTTGCTTTGTTTTGTTTTGCTTTGTTGAGACAGGGTCTCACCGTGCAGTTCTGGCTGGCCTAAAACTTGCTATGTAAATCAGGCTGGCCTCAAACTCAGAGATCCACCTGCCTCTGTCTAGGGTTCTGCCCTAACCCTAACCTGCTGGTGCCCTCTGGAGGCTGCGTGGGCTGCTCCGGCTAGTCCTGGGCCTGGCCCTCACCACAGGCCAGCCCTGGCTCAGTCTGCCAGGTGGAGTTGCAGTCCTCCATGGTGGTGGGCTCGCGGAAGCTGACCCTGCTGAGCAAGTTGCCCATTGAAGGGGTGGCACTGGGCTACACCTAGAGCCCTGGCATGGCTGTGCTCCTCTTGGGTGCTGGGTGGCAGCTTGCACAGCGTCAGCGCAGCCTATGGCACACTGCACTCGCGGGAAGGAGCCTGCCGCCCTGGGGCTGCTGCACATGCCTGAGTCCACCCATCTCCACCCAGCCTCCCGCCCCAGCCCGGTGCCACCCCCACACCTGAGCACAGCCGCCTCAGTCCCCGGAAATCTCTGCCTTCCCTTGGCCTTGGGCATCCGGGGGAGTGGCTGGGGGTCTTCTTCCTTGAAACCAGTGTAAGATGGTGGAGGATAGCCACCACCCCATAATGGCGGGGCAGAGGCTGTCTTAACTTCCTGATTTTCAACCAGAAGCTCTCAAACCCTGGTTCCTCATTCTTTACCTCGTTATCAGCAGCCATCGGTTCCACATCAGAAGAGAAATTAGTTTGGTTTTGACTGGAAATGCCTGGGACAGGCCGTCCCCACTATTCTGTTGCTTTATTTGTTTATTTATGTTTTTTTAGTATGGGACTATTCTGCTCAGGGGCATTGGGGGGGAACTCCCTGAAGCGAGGCCAGAATGGCAGTCACAATGGGGTAAAACGGCCCAGATAATGGACGCCTTTCCCTGACTTCTCTCTTTCTGGCCATGAATAGCACACGAGCCTGGATCCCAACAGCAGGAATCTGTAAACCAAGGAGCAAGAGCTAGCACTTCATCTAATAACTTAGTTACTTCCCTTTTTGTTACCCTAATTTGCCTACTCCTGAGGAAGGAAACCAGTGCAGCAGCACTGGGGCCGGCAGCAGCTAAATGACTATTCCCCATACCAGAGGTCACTCACCCTGCAAGACATACCCAAAGGGACTCAGGATACATTCAAGGAGACAATTGGCAAAGACAGGAGCGGCACGCCCAACCAAAGATCGCGAGCAAGAAGAAAAAGCAGAGCCCAAGGTGTTACAGCTCTGTGGGGAGGGGGTCCCAGCCCCACGTTAGGCGACAGGTGTGGTCGCCAGCTGTGGCTGCTCTCCTCTGGCTATGGCTGCTCTCCTGCTCTCTCAGTTCCTCTGATGATCAGTCCTCCGGTCCGGACCCCAGGGCTGGTGAGGAGTCTGCGCCAGCATTGCCGCATTCAGACGCAGGAGACCAGGTTCAGTGACACAGATCTGCTTTATTGCAGGAAGGCACAAGCTTATATAGGAGTAGTGGTCCAATCACAGCACAGCAAGTAGAATACCTTATTAGCATAACAGGTTTAGCATCCTATCACAGAATAGCAGGTAGGATGCCTCATTAGCATATGGGTTTCAGATTAGCGAGCCTGGATTCCTGGAAACCACATGACCCTGACTGTTGCAATATCTGAGTGTTGCAATTTGGATTCCAAGGATGGCGATTAGGGAGTGGCGAGCTCTAAGCATCAGTCTCATAATCTGCCAATGGGAGCAAATGTCACAAGGCATTCCTTGTGGCTCCAGTGGTCAGGTTGTTGCCTCTGGCCTGCTGTATGGCTGTAAGACTTTCACCCTAGGCTCAAACCTGTCTCCCACAGTGGAGTACTTACATGTGTTTGGACATAACTCAAACTTTAAACTCTACACAATTAACTATGTATAAAGTTACACACCAATTTAAAAACTAAGTACTAGAATCAACTTTTTAAAAAAGCCTTTCCCTAGCCTTCTAGTTTACAAGGTATCCCCTGCTTTTCCCAGCTGGCTTATATCCTTTTAACTTATTCTGCACCG